TTGGGTTGGCGTTGTAGGTAGGGTTGTGGGTGAATGAATCTTCATTGAAATTAGCCATCGTTGTGGTATAACAAAGGTACAGTTCATTAACACAAGTATGGATGCTACAGACTTGACAATTAACGACTGGGTAGACTAGACTGGATAGACTGGGCACTCGCGGCCTCGGGTTCGATAACGAATCCGCTGTCAACGGGATAACGAATTTATTGTTTCGTCAAAGTCTAAGTTGGACTAGAGTCTAACATAGATGTTAGAACGCGAGAAATTCACTGATTAAAACGCCACGTAACTAGTTGCTGAGAGCGCACGAGAGAGAGTGTCTCTCCGGCACGGTGATGCTGCAGAGGAAAACTATAATGGGGTGTGTCTAAGGGCATGAGATCACCAGATTCGTGGAGAGAAGCCTTCGTTCGGAAACTGAGGGAAATTGACATTACTGTTAATGGTCAATTTCCATGTTGGTGGTTAGAGAAGGATGCTAGCCGTCCTTGAGGGAAAGTTGCTAGCGGGAAGCGTCGTTCGTGAGAAAAAAATAAAGTTCCCCTATCTTCCTGTAGGTGGAACAAAGACTGTTTGTCTGTTTGAAGGATTTTAGTTAACTAAATCTTAAAATTTATAACTGGTCCTCGGGCTAGCTGAACATGTACCTTGGAGATGCGTTGATATCTGGTGATCGTCTTGCCCGAAGAATAGGGTCTGCGTGTAGCGAGTCACAGGACAGAAACCGTTGGAATGTTTACTATCGAGTGCCGCTACAACTATTTCTTTTTAAGGAGTGCTATACTATTACCCCATATCTTTGTTAGACAAAACGTTTATCCCCTTGACCGCGGCTACGTTCGGAGACTGGTTGTCGCTTGGAGCCCATGCTCACTATTACAAATATGGAACAAATGCAATCGGATTGACTAAAGAATCTAGATTATAATTTTAAGGGTTTTTTCCAAAGTTCCAAAGGGGAGGCTCTGGTGTCCTTTCATCTCCGACATATATATATATATATATATATATATATATATTTAAATACAAATGTTTGTATGTATATAATAAAATAAATATGTAGATAATTACACATAAGTATATATATGCAGCTCTTGATGTATTTGTATATTTGTAATTAATTTCTATTTCTGTTTCTATTTATTTCTATTTATATTCAATAATTTACTACATCTAAATTCCTTAATTTTACGAAACTTGAAATGTGAAAATAGAATTAAAAAATAAGCAGATACAGTAGTTAAAAATATACTAAGATGATGTTTTGAAAATTTATAATTTATGTTGCGAATTGTTCCAAAGTAAACAAAATAACAAAAATATTACTAGTCTGAAAGTTAGTAGATACAAAATATTCATGCATTATAAAATATAATCAAATTTAAGGTTTTAAATATTTTATAGGATATTTTAAAAGTGTAAATTCAATTTTACATTAAGTAATATTGTTTATTGTTTTATATTTTTGAATGAACCTGTGTTTACTCTTTCGATGTCTATGTTCGCATCTACCTATGTCTACTTTATGTCTGCCTGGAAAACACATTGTAACTTATCCCTTATACACATCACGCTCCATCAATTTGTACAATAATGACGATGTATACGTCATTAACAAGACTGGACGGATTTTATTTAAAACGCAGCGATCCTTTTCTGTACCAACTGCGAAGGAAGCAAAATCGAATGAGGAAGTTGAACCAAAGGTATTATTTACTCATCATATATATAATCCTCATAAACATCTTTTCTTAAATTTATTAACATCTAAACAAATACGAATGTACATATGTATGATTTCGTAACATATGTACAAATAATATGTTCCCATTATAGTAGTAGCGATAAAAAGCTGAAAGAAATTCAAGACATTAATTGAATTTAAATAAGTTCAATGTGAGAAAATTAAACTTTCATGTAACTTTCATTTATACGTGCATTGACATAAAACTGCATAAAGTAAGAATCCATACCAATATATCATTTAATTTTGCCTTATAACATTTCTGCTTCAATCGTTTTAAAAATACCTACCTACAGCTTGACTCTTGTTATGTGTACTAAAATTAAGGAAATGAAAGTACGAAGTAACATAAAAGGATACGTATAAATGGTAAAATTTCTATAATTCATACAGAATCGAAGTGCCAGAGTAAGCGTGAGCAACGAAAATAATATATTGCTTGATCCAGAAGTACTGACAGATTTCTCAACTCAAACTTTGGTTCTAACTGTTCTGGTTACTTTAGTTAAAAATTCAACCGATGAAAACGAACAACGGATTCTTTATGAATATCTTGCGGAAGCCTCAGTGGTGTTTCCAAAAGTCTTCCCAGTAATGTAAGTTTTTATCTTTCAAAATTTTAAACAGATTATATACACGTTGAAAGCATCTACAGCAATTACATTAATAGTTGTTAAGTGTTACAGTAAGTTAGCGTGATTTTTATAATTTTAAAATAAAGATGCATTTAACTGTTTATTACGCTGTTCCTGGTAAATATTCAAAACATGAGGGCACATGACTTCAGAGGACAATTCACTACTTACATAAAGATAGGAGTGAGGTTTACAGAAATAGTATAAATTTGTTCCTGTGTTAATAAATAACATTAAGAAATTCGGAATGTATATTGAAGGGATTCCAACGAACAATACCTGATAGTTTTGAACGGAAAAAGAGATCTGTTACAGCCATTTAGTAATTTGTATTTATGTCGAGAGAGCTCGTTTAAAATGATTATTTAATAATTATTTACATATAATTATTAGATAATTATAATTAAATACTATGAAGATAAATGAATAATTGATTCTATTCACAATTATTTCACTTTGTTTAATGAATTTGTTTCTGTCAAGAATCCAATCCAAGAATTCATTTAATATAATGTAAGAAATTAGGAATAAGAATGCAACAACCTCCATGCAATAGACTCTGTACCTAGAGTACAAATAAATTATTATTATTATTTATTATTATTAATTTGTTTCTACTTTTTTTCGTTTCACAGCTGTATCTTAGCCTTAGTTGAAATATAAAATAAGTATGAAAAACAGTAACATGAACAATTTGGTTTGCGAGAAATGATATTTAAAATAACGCATATGCTTACTGAGACATTTAATGTTACAGAATTCCTTAAACGCATGCTTAATATTTTTTAAATGAATTTAAATCTGTTTATAGTCATAATTTGCTTGATGCAAAAATCAACAATGTATTATCCTCTTGCCATGACCAAGGGATATTGAATTCTGTACAAGCAATTATACAAAATATGATAGCGTGCGAGGATACAAGTCAACAGCAGTTACATTACTTACAAAGTTGTGGTTTTGGTGGATTATGGAGATTTGCAGGGCCATACACAAATGTAAGTACCCATCTAGGGTGAGACGGAGATAGTAGTGCAACCGAAAAGGGAGTAATTTTTTGTAATGAAACAAGTAGAAAATGTAATATAAATTTTTTTGCCCGTAATACGCAGCAAGTGATAACGAACACGAACTGTCAACCGTGTCATGTCGTTACCGATTGTTGCTATTCGAGCTAGCTTTTATGAACACAGATTGATAATATAGTACGAGAGATAATATAGTGACGAGATATAGTGACTTAAGTACTACAACAACTTCTTTGCTTTTTTAATTTTTTACCCGAGATCACCCAATAATTCAAGTTCTACGTAATCTTTGTGATTGTTGCATTTATAAGCTTACATTGATGTATGCCGTAGTCCAATTGTACAGCCGAAAGCGCTCAGTTATTTGTTAATTGCCTGGAAGCCATGGTGGAAACGTGTTTACCGGTAGATGAAGTTGAAGCCTTAAATAGCAATGAAATCTCGAGTGAAAAATGTAAACGATCCGATAGTCATCAGTCAGAAGTCGCACAAAAAAAGAAATCTTTAACTCATGGAGGAGATCGGGCGAGTTCTCGCGCTTTTTCGGAAAAAATGGACGAAACTTCTCAGAGTAGATCTTCTTTTATTCACATAGAGTAAGTGAACAATAACGATTATTATTCGAGGCTGTCCCAAGTAGATATATCGAAAGATACATATATGTATATAGGTACTACGGATAATGTTGAAACAGGTTGTAAAATATGAAAGGGGACATACATATATGTATAACATACTTACATTTATTCTATCTTGCAATGATTCTGAAAAAAGTACTATGAAGGTTAACTCCAGATTCAACTCAATGCCAGATTCTTATTGACTAAAATCCTCATACAGTGGCCTTGACGCCGTCGGAGAATCTTCGGGATTTCCAATAGGATACATGGTGCTTCTCGCGCGCCGTGCTTAGAGTTCATGGAAGGAGTTAATAGGACTCCGTCATTGTATTTTCAGTTTACAATGTTGTACTGTAAGATTCACATCACACGCTGCTTATTACTTGTCAGTGACAATTGAGAGGAATCAAATCTACAACCTTCGGGCAAAAAGTCGGCATTCTACACTCTAAATATTACCTACTCATGTGATTTGCAAACGTTATTCTCGAAATAAGAATTTTCAAAATTGGCATTATGTATATCTGATATTTACAATGGGAAGATTACTCGATTGGATTTTGTACTTATATCATAGTTATCCTAAAAAGAACCGATTTTGTGTGTGAATGTCCTTGATAAGTTTAATAGATAAATGTTGAAATGCTTAATCGTTTGCTTGGAGAAATTTATTTTCCTTTGAAAGAATTCTTTATAATCTGTAATATTGCTACTGATAAATTTTTATTTGCTTACGTTTCATATCGTCGAGTATTGTTGGGAAATATTGTTCCTTAAATGTCGCTAATGCTAACAACATGTTAACTTCGAAAGTCGATATATCTTGAAAATGACTTGCGCAAAAGATATACTTATATCTTTATATATACTTTATATATACTTTATACTTATATCTATATTTACTTACAAATGTTACACAAGTATTTTGATGGCAATTACAAGAACATGTACTAAAAAATATAGATTCTAATTTTAATACTTGAAGTTAACTTTCACAAGGCTTATAAAGGTTATAATAAAGTCAATGAATGTCAGCATGATCCATTTCTCTTAATATCTTACAGCTTTCGTGTGGAATATTTGTTTATACGTTTCATCTTTCGAAACATTTACTTGGGGAAATATATTTTTATCATATAATACAGTCGTATATTGTTTTAAAAAAGCATCTTAATATAATACTTTTTAAGAAAATTTAAAGTATTAATAAAGGTAGTAAATTTAGTCACAGTATAGATAGCAGAGAAGATGTTTTATTGGATTCTGTGGGTCAAGGAGAAAATACGAGTAGTAGTAACAATTCACAACCTTAGCGATTAATATGTGATCCTAAGAAACAGTGGGGTAAACATGGGCGAAAAGGACAAGTTGGTCGGAAGTTGCAAATACAATTGAGGTACGTTTAGTTTCGAAACTTGCATGAGAACCATAGTAGCGGTGCATGATGATGCCTTCATTTTATTATTGAATAGAAAACAGCACAGCCTTAAGTAATAACTATATTGAAATAATGCGTCTTTATAATACTAAGATATACATATGTTTTCAATTTAGAAACGCAAATATTTTGGCTCCATGTTATTGCTGCAACATGTCGAATCAGTTTAAGCCAATGCCGTCCACTTCATGTTAATGTACCCACTGGAATGGAAACAATTAAGCGCAATCTGTTAGTCGATTATTATTTACGATTATTATTATTATTAGTCGATAACTTATTTTGTTATTAGCAACATATTTCGATGGTTTTGTATTATCCTTAAATTTACGTTTAATACAACGATTAATTGTTTCTATATTATAGTGATAATATAAAAAAAAGTTACGCAATGAGTCCATTATCGATTTTTAATACGCCAGAGTTATGTTTTGTATAAATAACGATTTTTAAAAGTAAAATTGTTTAAACTTTTGTAATTAGACAATTGTAATTAATCAATATATATAATATTTCATAGTTTCATGGCGATAACTGAATATTCATGGATATTTTCATTCCTTTACAACTAAATATTTTTATATCATCTGTCCCTATTTCTAAACAAATTTAATATAGTCCCGTGTTATTAGAATAAAATGATTATATAAATAGTTTATCAGAGAAGTCCAACTATATGAGTTCATTTCTTGGTAATATTTAGTGGAAGGAATGATATTATTTTCTGATAGAAGTTATGTTCCAATTAGACTTGAGGTTAAGGTAACAAAACAAATAACGAGATTGTTGTTTTATGTTACGGTAAAATGAAGCGATGATTGAATCGAAAGAAAATGTATGTTTAATGAAAACATTATGTTATGGGCACCAGCAAGTCAAATTCTTGATGAAAGAATTCCATTGAAACTGCAATGAAGTAATGAAGATACTCAAAACGCTTGTGTAAATAAATACAGGACTTTCGTGTACAAGAATATAAAGATATACGTGCATAAAGATATAATATCTCGAGAGGAATGTATTTATAAAAATAACTAAGAATGTTCCATGTTATCACATTTACTACAAAGAAAAAATGCAGTTTGACTAGAATACGATTCTGGATCAGTGCAAAATCCCTTAAACAGTATGTCACAGTCATGTATGTAGAACTTATATTCTTTTCTACATAAATATATTTATTGTTTGAGTGCGATTGTATTTTGTTCGAAAAAGCAATAGGGTACATGTGCGTTTTGCGCGATTGCAATTGCAAAATTCGCGTATGTTTATAAATAAAATTTCGAGAGGGTCGGGAACTCATCTCTCGAATATCATAATACAATTGCAACTCCTTGCACTTGGCCATTATTTATGAGGCATGTGCACATATTTTTATATTGTTAATGTTTAGTGAATTTAAACAAGCTTTAATTCAGAATCTTTTCCTGTTAATATAATATTTAACGATATTTATTCATAATGGAATATTAATTGAAAATATTCAGATGTTCAAAAGATATATTAAAGATATCGGAGGAAAAGTGGCAAGGAGTTGACAATACAAAGACGTTCTGGACCAGCATACATCCGGTGCATTGGAGGCTCTTTTCGTCTCAGGATGCTCGAGCAACCGAACGATCGGTTATTTTTAGAGTTCTCAAAACAAAACACCAATAATTCTATTGTCTACCACTTATTAAAGTACAAAGCAAGACACGTTATTTTTTCCGAAGCGCATAAAAGCATGTAGGAGAGACAATTTATTAGTAATTAGTGAAAAAAGAAAAAAAACAAATGGTAATGATACAAGTGTCGATTTTTCTGTTGAATATCAGTTACGAAAATATGAAAAATATATACATTTAATATACATACACATAATAGGTTGATCGCAGCAATAGAGTACCCGTAATGAATTCGATAATGCGTTTGTACATAGTATATAAATATATTATATGCAGGATGTTTCGTAAGTTGTCGAACAATATCTAACGGAAAATTCAATGAAATTATTAATTACGTTTTCATGTATTGTATAATTGAGCATGGTTTTATTTTAATATTCAATAATTTGTGTAAAGATTTAGTTTAATTACAGGGCATGAATTTAAAAGTGCCGATTTTTTTTTAGTAATAGACTTAAAGCTTACGAAATACTCTATATATAGGGTATTTCATACGGTATACATATACATATACATGTGTACACCACATTTGCAGAATACTAATTTAAATTAATAATGACAAGCTTGTCATGTTTTCATACGACTACTGATTGTTAATTTTCTAGGAATCAGCAGATAAAAAATTGCCCATGTAACGAATCTAAATAATTATAATACTGTCATTTTCTTGCATGTTGTACGCTAGATAACAATACTTCTATTTCGCTATAAATTTAGTCCAAAATGCAATCAAAATTGAAATGCATTCCGTTTTCCATTTGCTTTGTCTGTCTCGTTTTATTTATACGTTAGAAAGAATCAACTTTTAAAAGTCGATATTAATTCTATTACTGCTTGATACTGTCTTTTTTGTGATTTTACACCAAAAATATAAATGCCATTTTATATCAGAATTTAACTAATTTTTATGGTATTGAACACAAATATGTAAGGGAAAATGCTAACAGTAAGAAAGCTAATGTATCTATTTTTTAAGTATCTTTAATTAAAAATTAACATTCAATAGTCTATCGGAAACAGTAACAATTGGTTTACTCATTAAAACACGAATGTCACATGTTAAATATATCATATCTTATGAAATACTCTCAATATACAACACATAAATACACTATATAAATATTTGTATAGCACGTACGTATTTTAGAAATTTATAATTTTATGAAAACGAAATTGTTTCAAAATTGTCGAATAAGAGAATATATGTTATTATTAGGAAATACGTTCTATAGATTATTCGTATGTTTACGTCGAATGTTAATGTAAGATATACAATCTTCTAAATGCTTGTACTTAGATATTTTTGGCGTATCTCGAACAAACTGCGCTACGAACAAAGCATTGTTAATCTAGTTAAATGTTTAAGTGTTATATCTACTTAGTTCGTGCAGTACTCGTGACTATAAAACGAGAGATTCCTTGGACAGAAATAAAATAATTCTTAATGGTTTCACATTTCCAACATTGGAATTATCGAATTCCTTGTCAAAGTTGAGTAAATAAACCAATCGATGTTAAAAGAGTATATTTACAACAGATATTCTAGACAAATATACTATCTTAATGTTTCCGAATAATTTTTTTCTCCTTCAATTCACTTCCACTGACCTTTATATTTATTGATATAATGATATCGTATGCTGTATAGACTTAAATATATTATATTTTTAATTTAATAATCTAAACATTTAAACGTGTTAAGTTATCATTCTTTCTCAATATGTCTTTAAATTTATCGCTTTTAAAGTGTATTTCCTTTTGATGAATGCGAGCCACGAAGTTCCATATTTTATAGCTCCGTTTATTTAACTAAAAAGTTTAATTAGTGCTTTATTAAATAAATGTCTGATATGTAAATTCATTCATCTAAACGTGAGCTACTATTATACGAATCGACAAATCGTAAATAGTAGGGAGAATTAGTAAGCTCATATTATATACATGAACTACTTGTCTCGCGACAAGTTCAAATAGATGGAATTTTATAATATATGTATGTAATTCCAACGCGAAAATTGGTGAAGTTAAAAGCAAAGACAAGGTGCTATGATCATCAATAAATAACAGAATAAGCGTCACATTAAAAACTTTTCCGTTCCCAACAATTTAGAGATTTGTATATGGCTATGAAATCTCTTTCTTTCTCTCTCTCTCTCTCTCTTTCTCTCTCTCTATCTATCTATCTATCTATCTATTTATCCATTTATCTATCTATCTATTTATCTATCTATCTATCTATCTATCTGTCACGAATTACTATTCTAGACGAGATAAAGAATTCTAACATAAAGAGTTCTATAGCACGCGTCAGATTGAATTAACAGTTGATTCAAACAGTAATTTTGAACAAGAGCTACTATTTTTTTAACTTTTTAATGTTGACTACTGTGATACAATTATGGTATTATGTAGCAAGCAGTATGAGTTAATTGGCTACGACTGTGAATATGTTTTTACTTAATTAGGCAACTTATTAATCTCTTAACGAGACTATCATTGATTCCTGAAATTTAATGGATTGGATTTTTGTGATAGAGTGTAATGAAGTAATATTTTCTGAAGTATTGTAGAAGTATAACATTCTATACTTCGTTATGATTATAGGATATCCTATTCGATACATATTTTATTCTGTAATTTCATAGAAAACTCTTAGTTTTACATAATTTAACTAGTAGTATTGACTAAGAATAAAGTACGATACTGAGTCGATAACGTCGCACGTGACACGAAAATGATAAGGAGTTCAGATGATTCCAAAAACAGGGAACTAGAAAAAGCATCTGTTGCATGTCACGTCCAATTTGTACCTGGTCTGTGATGGCATAAAGTTCCATAAGATGTTATCATAGATATAGGAATATTATACATATATGTAGTGTATCATATACCACAAATGCGTTACCACAAATACCACTGTGCGTTACTACAAAGATGACTAACGTAAGGAATACTAGACCGATTGGTTATTTCGAATAGACTGAACACAATTATAAAGGTAAGCATGCGTATTAGTCAAAAGTATTAGATATTACAAACAGGACAACACAACAACGTATGACGGTGAGTGATACACAGCAGTACCTCTCTTGCCTGTGCCGTTTCGTTAGTTATCTTTCCAGCAACGCACAGTACATAGGCCTGTGCTGCTCTATATGTACTGTACACTGTATACATTTACCTCGCATGTGGTGATGGTGATAACCTATTTTGTATATACATATATTATTTGTGATAAAATCATGACTTTAGTCTCGAGTTTTAAATTTTGATGGCTGATTTTGACATACATTTGTAGTAGCAGTTGATCGTTGATACTGTAATATACATATGTATATATAACTGAGTAGTAGCACACATTATTGTCGAGATCACAGTTCACTCATTGTGATATGCAGTTATGTCTCGAGTAATACTTATTGCATCAAATAATCGTAAGTTTATTGGTAATATTTGCTTGATATATAATACAATTTTACTATCTTATTTTTATTATCTTTAAAAATTTTGGATTTTGACAAGTGATTGTTAGATTACTCGCACAAATCTTCATTTTATTAACTGCAATTTATTGTAAATTATTATATATTATACATTATTTATTACATATTAATTTAAAATTTTTTATTGTTATTATTATAACATTTCTTATATCACTAACAGAGCATATTATGAGTTTTAATTTATATTAAATAAAGAATAAAGATAACAAACAAATATTCTTAATTAATGTCCGTTATCAAATAAATAAGATGTTTTTACGATATTGCAAAACATATAAAAACTTATTTTATTTTGTAATTACGATTTATACATAGAAAATATACATATGCACATACATTACTTTTGTGATATACATATAGCTTTATATAGTTTTATTTCATACACCAATTACATATATCTCATATTTTAATATATGCATATAATATATATACATAGAGATGCATATATATTATATGCATATGTATAGAGACACAAGTGAAAACGTATTATGCTAGACAATTACTGTGTTAAAGAAATCTCCTTAGACTTTCACTGTTAGGTTAGGTTTGATTGTTTGTTGATATTGTTGACTTGTACTGATCTATACAAGACTATACTTGTTAAATTACATGTAGCAAGGAAAGTAGTGCGCAAGTGTCTTACATTTTTATTGGTCTAAATATTGGTATAAATATTTAACAAGTACTTATATATAATAATAATAAAAAAATATAAAATATAAAGGTGATTATCATTTGTGAACTTCCTATAATAAAATTAAGATATTATAAAATATTAAGATATTAATTGTAAAAAAACTGTACCAAATATTACTAATATCTTATTTTTATCATACTTCTTGATAGAACAGAAATTTCGATGGATGTTTCAAAGAGCTTATTCACAAGAAAAGTTTCGAAGAATTACAACTCACTACACTATTATACCCAGAGAATCAGATCCAAGATGGAAAGGTATAATTTATAAATATGAAATTGAATATGAAAAAACAATACTTTTTATTAATAATATACATTATTACATTATTAATATATATTATTGCATGATAATTCAAGCATCAAATATCATTTGCAGGTGTAAATATGGAAAGATATGTAGATGAAACAGATATTTTAATTGTGGGAGGTGGACCAGCTGGATTATCTGCTGCAATTCAAGCACGTAAATTGGCAGGAAAGCATGGAAGAGAATTAAAAGTTACACTTGTTGAAAAGGCTTCTACTATTGGTGGCCATATTCTCAGCGGAGCTTGTATAGATCCAATAGCATTAAATGAATTATTTCCAAATTGGAAGGAATTGAGAGCACCTCTAAATACCCCTGTTACAGAAGATAAATTCGCATTTCTCACTGAGAAAGGCAGATTACCAATACCTATCTTAAAAGGAATGCCAATGTACAATCATGGAAACTACATTGTTAGGTAATAAACTATAATATGATAAAGTTGGTCATGTTAGTATCCTAAGCATTCTTCACCTAATTTCTTGTTTTAGATTAGGTCATGTTGTAGCCTGGCTTGGTGAGCAAGCCGAAGCTGCAGGTGTAGAATTATATCCTGGATATGCAGCTGCAGAAGTTCTTTATCATGAAGATGGATCCGTTAAGGGAATTGCTACAAATGATGTTGGTATTAATAAAGATGGTTCACCAAAAGATATTTTTGAACGTGGAATGGAATTGCATGCAAAATGTACAATTTTTGCAGAGGGTTGTCATGGTCATCTTACAAAACAGATTTCAAAGAAATTAAATCTTAGGAAAGATTGCGAACCACAGACCTATGGTATAGGATTAAAAGAAGTAATTATCATTAAACATAAATTTTAATGCATTTTAATATAATTACAAAACTATAAGATAGATATTAATGTTATTAGATTTGGGAAATTGATCCAAAAAAACATATGCCTGGCACTGTTGAACACACTGTTGGTTGGCCATTGAAAAAAGACACTTATGGTGGTTCGTTCTTATATCATCTTAGTGAAGATACACCTCTGGTTACTATTGGTTTTGTTGTTGGTTTGGATTATTCTAATCCTTATTTACATCCATTTAAGGAATTTCAAAGATTTAAGCAACACCCAAGCATTAGACCAGTACTTGAAGGTGGGAAGAGGTAAGATACCGGTATGAATAAATTAATATTTATATTTATAGGAAGATTCATTCTAAATTTTACATTTTGTGTTAGAATTGCGTATGGTGCAAGAGCCTTAGTAGAAGGAGGTTTTCAATCTATTCCTAAACTTCAATTCCCTGGTGGTTGTCTTATTGGTTGTACAGCAGGATTTCTTAATGTACCTAAAATTAAAGGAACACATAATGCTATGAAGAGTGGAATGCTAGCAGCAGAAAGTGCAATTGAAGCTATAATTAGTGCAGAAAATAATCCTTCGCCAACAAAAGGTTTAGAACCGAAATCTTATACTGATAAAATACGAAACAGTTGGATTTATAAAGAGCTGAAAGCTATAAGGAATATAAGACCCAGTTTTCATACTCGATTTGGTATTTACGGGGGTCTGCTATATTCTGCATTTTCAATGTTGATTGGAGGAAGAGAGCCATGGACTTTGTCTCATGGAGGTAAAATAATTTATAACAAAATTAAATAAGAAGGTAGTAAATATCGACAAAAGATAAAAATAATTATTAATATTTTTTCTAGGTCCGGATTATAAAAGTTTGAAATCAGCATCGGAATGTACACCGATAGAATATCCACAGCCGGATAATGAAATATCTTTTGATTTACTATCTTCGGTGGCACTTACTGGTACAAATCATGAAGCCGATCAGCCACCACATCTTACTTTGCTTGATGATACTGTACCAGTAAAAAGAAATTTAACGATATTTGCCGGGCCAGAAGGTCGATTTTGTCCTGCTGGTAAGTACATATTTATAAACACATTTAATATCATTAGTATATTATATATTTATTTTTTAAAATAATGAAATAGGTACTTCTATTGAGAATTATAGAGAATTCTTTAACACATTTTTTACTATAAGGAAACCATGCTTGATAAATTTTGTGATTATAAATTTATTAACTTATATTGAC